GCAACGAAAGTATCTATGGAAATGAGAGTGATGCAGTTAGAATTTGTCGTTTGATTGCGTTGTGAAATGCTGATGGAATGTCGATAACAAACAAATTTTAGAAATGTTCGATACGTATCAGTCAATGTTAATACACAGTTGCGTTTTGATTGATGTAAGCACTGGTATCAACCGAACAGTTATCGATGAGAACGGGTACGTTCACCACACCATTGCACTTAAACGATTCTGCAGAATTTTACAGGGTTCACTGCCGAAATTGAATGTTGATTCGAACTGAATCCATGCAATGAATTTCTTGCGAACACTTCAGTGAACGAATTGATTGATACAATGCGCTCAAAAGAGATCATTTCAAGAAACATTTCAGATTTCACGTAAGCTGAATTCTTTCAGATGCTCTCAAGACACATCTGTGATGGATACACCTGACTACGTTGAGCCGTTAACGGCGTTTGCTGTTGGCAAAGCTGTCAAATTTCCAGATAGTCCTTTAATTCGAATGAAATGTCAACTGAAATTTTGTGACCGTTTACTCGGCGAATGTGAGGCGATTTTGGTAGGTCTCTTCTGAGCGATTCCATTATTTACCATTATCCAAACCATTCGGTATGGAAAATGTGATGATAGAATTTTTCAAACAATGGCCTCATCACTCTCAAAATAAAGTTCTTTTTGTTGCTATCAAAGAGAACGTTTTTTTTTCTGGAATTCAGTTGATTCAGAGAATTCGCCGAACGAAAAAAACTGGCGATTACGATTGTTGGTTGAAAATTGGAAACGATTTCTGAAAAAATTCAACTTCTTGCACTTTTTTGTCAACTTTCTGAAGAATTCCTCTTTCAAAGCTTTACTTTAACGTTGTTATTTTGGCAGCCACCAAGATGCCGGAATCGAAGAAATTCGCTCGGCAATGGCGATGAACTAATCAGGCAACGTCGATCAGAAGAAGTATGCGACACCAGTACAACTTACTATCTTTAACAAAATTATAATCCTTAAGAAGTTGTTTGGTTACTGAACTTTTGAACCTATCACTTTCTTCTGTTAGATGGGTTAGACATTTCTCTTCCAACGGTGCTATCATCCATCTACCTCAGCAATCTCATCACAT